TTTTGCAAGGGCTTTGAAAGGCGATTAATAGCATTAAGATAACAACAACAAAAAAGACTTTTTATGTCATGACTGAAGAACCTGTAGACTAGGCTTTTTGTTTTAATCAGTGCCTTTTGTTTCTTTCCATCCTGGCTGCCAGCTTCATCCCACAGAGCAGGAGCTGGGACGTCTGTTCACAATTGTCTCACTGCATGGCTGGCAGGAGGTGCTGACGCTGAGCTGAAACCAATTCACAGCCTGCTTTTGGGAAGCAGATGCATGGATGTAATTATGCTAATCAGTGGACTTTTGCCCCTCCCACTTTTCTCAGCACTTCCAGATGCAGTACTTTTATTGTAATTGAAACAATAATATGTGACATTAATTTTAATTTTCTGTGATACCCCCACAGTTGGTGTGTGTCTTCATAACTCAGGGCCCATTTTACAGATGACTCACATAGTAGTCAAAGTTATTACTTTGTTACAAGACTGCCTGGAATCCAAGATTTTACAGTGTTCCTACTTTGCTCATAGACTTAAAATCTGGAGCCGTTCACGTTACTTATTAGTTGAGCAAAATAATTAGAAGTGTTAGTGTAACTATTGTTATTTAGGGCCCCGGGCCATGGCATTCCATGCTGGAGATTCAGTGGAGTCTCTTATCCCATCTGGGTGGCTCAGAGCTTCCAAGCCAGCCTTCATCTGGGCCAGGAAGTACCTTTCTTCATGAGAAGTCCCACAGGCTGTGATGGAGCAACAGAGGTACACCCCCATGCCACATGAGTCAGGACACCAGAATGTGCCCCTTAGGTGCTAATTAAAGTCCACTTCACACACAGGAATATACTTCCAATTAACATAGTAGCTCTGGAATGCATTGTGGGATGTGGAGAAGAGCAGGAGCTATTGCAAAAAAAAAGTAATCGGCACGTTTAAATAACAAGGCCCTTGTGATTAGTCTGTGTGGTCGTATGAATTATCCCACAGTAACCCAGCTCCAGGTTCCAAAATAGATAGTCATGTGAAGGTTTTCCCAGGACTTCTAAGAGCTGGGCTTCTCAACAGTCCAAAAATCTGAGGAAATTATGCTTTTTCAGTTTCCTTCTCTTGAGCTTCCCATGTCACTGCATGGTAAAGAGCCAAAATTACTGTCTTTTCAAAAAACTTGAGGAAAAATGTATAAAGGACAAAGAAATACATCATTCAGAATGGTGTCCTGGGGAAAAAAAAATGGGTAACCTCAAAGTTTATTTTTTTGTTTTGAAATTACTTCTTATTTTGGAATTTCACTTGGATTAGAGATCCAAAGAGTCTGCCAATTCAAGTCTCAGTTGTGATTCAGCTGTTACTCATCCATAAAATGAATAACTTTATGTCCTGTTTCTTAATTCTTAGAAGATTATAATGAATTTATCATTACCTTTCTTCATCCTTTCTCAAATACTAGCCAAAGCACTATTCAATAGGGAAATAAGGAGACAGTCTATCTGAAAGACTCTGCTGAAGCCCAGGATGTTTATTTTTCTACAGAGAGCTACTGTATTTTGCTTTAATTCTACTTTGCTTAAGAAAACACTGTAGGCAAGCCTTTCCACCATTTTGCACCTAAAAGCTCTGAATCCTGTACCAAAGATCCAGTTCAATTAGAAAACCTCTGCCATCAAGTGATCCCCAGTGTGCCCATGACATTTGCAAGCAATAATCACATCAGACTCCATTTCCTGAAGCTACCTTCATTGCCTTCAGATGCCCTTAAATTCTGCTGTCTTCAAGTTATCTTGCAATGAATATTTATATAAAGCTGTGATTTCAATTGTGTCCACACTTTGTGATCTGTGCCAGAAAAATAAAGGGTCTCAACATCAAAGAAGGTTTTTTAGTTTAGCCATAAAGTGAGCACAAATACACTCTAAGATGTAGGTAGCTAGCAAAAGGGTGCTGGCCCTTACAGTTCATATGCTTTTTGTAAAATCACTTATTTTGACAAGTATTTAAACAAGCACATGATGACAGTACACAACAACTACTGAGTACCTTTGTGTTTCTAGTATTGTTATCGTGTCATCATGGTAAGCATAGAAAATGCTGTTGCCTCCAACGGCAAACAAGGAGCTCTTTAGTAAACTGCTACAGAAAGTCCTGCTCTCCCTCTTTTGACTTCTTGGTAAAGAGTCCTCTCAGAGACTCCATTAGTCTTCCCCTTTCAGGTCTTCCCAGAGCACTCTCAAAGAAACAGAACAAATCTCACTGCTGTAAAACCTTTGGACACAAACTATAAACAAGCAGCACAAAAATTGTGCCAAAAAGTATCTGGTTTTAAAAAATATTATCAGCATCCTGGAAACCAGAAGCCAGAATGAGCCAGCCTTTAGCCTTGGTTAAATACACTGAACTGAGGGAACTGATGGGCTGAATGAGGACAGATCATGAGCCCACAGCCAGACAGAAACATGTTTCACCCTCTCTGAAGAGGACATATTTGGATGGATCTGCATATGTAGCAAGAAAAACAGAATTCTTTTGCAGTGCTCCAACAGTCTTCTCTTTCAATTATTTGCTTTACCTTGTCCTGTGATTTCTAACACTCTGGAGAAATTCATACTTGGAACACACAACTATATAATCAGGATTTTTGGAGAAGAGATTGATAAAATTAATAAGAGATAAAAGAAAGCTTGAGAAGATTTCACATCTGAGAATGAAGAATCCAACTATTACAAAATCACAATGTATATTACCTATTCCTGAAAATCTTCCCAGTTGATCACTATGCTGAAAAATATGTGAAAATGTAAGCATGAGTGACTGTCAGCATTCCCGTGACACAGAATAAAAGTGATAAAATAGGTAAGAGTCTGCTTTGACACAAGGCATTGTGTTTGAAAGATGATTCCTGGTTTAATTTTGAGAGGGGGAGCCAAGCCTACAGCCCATTTCATTTTATTGTACTGAGCAGTTGTATCCTTTTTATTCTTTACAGTGTCCTCTACCATACCAGTTTCATGAATGCAGGAACTGCATTCATTTTTGAGACTGGCTGCTAAAGGAACAGAGATAATGAGGGCTAATAGGAACAGGTGGAGAAAATGGCCAGGATGTAGCAATTTAATAGATTTTATATAAAAATACAGCATGGCACTTAAGAGCTCCAGCTCTCAGCAATTAGTGAAAGGACAAGGTGATTACAGCCCTGTTATGGCAGATGTCTTCCTCTCTCAGTAGTCCCAGTGCCTGCACATACCTGCAGTACTGCACCAATTACCATCCTTTGCGACGAAAGCCCTTTCATTTGCACTGAATTAGGTCATTGCCCAGTTGCTTTTCCTACAAGCACAGAAAAGTGCAGAGATGCTTAGAAAAAGAGAGGAAGGATACTTCCCATTTCCCAAAGAAGCAGAGACGGGCAAGTGAAACATCTAAGAAATGATGCTAAATGTAAAACAATCCTGCCCTTCTACTTCTGTTTTCTTATTCCCACTGATCTGCACTGCTTCTCAAAACATAAACCTGCTCAATATAAGTATAACCACAGGATCAAGGACAGCAAAATATTAACAGCTGCACATTAACAATGACAGGCTAAGCCAATTAAGCTGTAATTAAAACACAGCATAGCCTGACAAAGGTGGCTTCATTAGAAGAATGACTATGGTGGAGGCTGTTTGCATACTCTGCCATGGGCTTGCAGGAGGAATGTCTGCCTTCTGTTAAGTTCCGGGTATTGGAGTGGTGTCACAAACAGGACCGTAGGGCTCCCAAGTAACACTTAATCTTGCTAGAGTGCTTTACAAATATGAGGCTAATCTCATGGCACCATGAGGAGGTAGGTGTTATCTCCTTCTGCCCAAAGTCAAATGACTTGTGTAGTTGCACACATAGAGTCTCCAGGGAAGTGCCAGAAAGAGAATACAGAATGTTGTTGGGGTTTTTTTGTCTTATCCTAATTGCTCCCTACTGAAACCATCATTAACTGCAGAACTCATTTTCTTTCCTCAAAAACTGAATGGTATAATTTGCCCTGAATGCCATGAATGCCGGATAGTGCCTTAAATGCAGCTGCTTCAATTCAGCACTGAGGAACATCTAGCATTTAAGGATTATTTTATTGCTTGTTGCCTACTATGGCTTCAACCAGGCTTTCCATCTCAGATTGTAAAACTGGATTCATGTTACTATCCGAAACTGGCAGTGGCACAAACTAGTTTTACAAATCAGAAAAAAAATATTTTCCAGCTATTTCAGCTATTTTTGCTGAGCAGTGAAGAAAGTCCAACAGCAGCAAAATGTCTGCTTATGTAATCAGCTTCAGTTAACTGGGGCTGGGTGTTCATATGATTAGTTTAAAATATTTAATTAATGTTTATAAGAACCTCCCACAGGTTCTTAGTGCTCCATGTTGCACTTGAGTTGCCTTTCATAGATAAGACTGTAAAAGAACAGCCCCATAACCATTTTGTAGAGAGGGAGACTGACAAATGTAAAAAACCCCCTTTCTTATACATTTATTGTAGCTCCTGTTTTATGAGTGCCTCTCTCTAACTGTTAAACAGCAGCTGTTTTCTTACAGGCACCACAGCAGAAAAGAGACTTGAAAACACATTACAAATGGATGAGATGACCTCAGAGGCTTCTTTCATGCAGAAGAGGATGCCAAAGAGGAAGGTGTTATGAAGGGAAAGGAGATAATAAAGTATCATCACAGATATCACATTTAAAAGGGCAGCAAGACATGTAACCTATTGTTATCAAATCTTAATCTTCCTGACAGGTGTTTGCTTAATAAGACACAAGGAGTTGTGGATTTTCAGTTCAGCTTAGAGTTAGTGAGGTCTTCCCCAAGATTGTGGTTTTGATCCCTGTATGGGCCATTCATTTAAGAGTTGGACTCAATGATCCTTGTAGGTCCCTTCCAACTCAGAATATTCTGTGATTCTGCGATCTGTGATTTTAACACAAGCTGTAGCACTTGCTTGAATTAATGCATTTCCCAGCCCCACAGCAGTAGCTGAAGCAGAAAAATCTCTTGGAAAAGTATTTCCTTTGGATTTTGAAGCTACTTGTGAATGAGAAGCAATCTGTGGCAACTTGTCCAGGTGTTTTCCTTTCCAGCTCAAAAGATTTACCAGGACAACACTGGTAAGCTTGTGTTATCCTTAAAACTTGTTTTTCATGCTCATTCTCCTTCTTGCTCGTTACTCTAATGGCACTTTCATAAACATCACATTTCTTTCTGTGTATTCTCAGCCTGTGAAGATCTGCGCGAACTACACAACTGTCATAAATTATAGGAGTGCAGCTGAAGGCAGCAGTGGTAACATCAGGCCCTGCATACACAGTCCTATTTTTAAATTTCTGTTTTGTTGAGAAGGGAGGGGGTTTCCTGTGAGCATAATGAAGTGGTGCTTGGCTGCATGCTACAAATAATTTCTCATGCAAATTTTACCCAAGTCTGTGCTTATGGTTCGCTTATAGCCTTGAATGGAGAAAATAAAGTCAACCATATGGTACAATAGTTCATTATTTATAAATAAATATGTGATATGTCATCTTCATAACAAAAACCAAAAACCATAAAATAACTTTCTCCAGAGAAACAGACGTACAGCTCTAACCCATCTAAGCCAGAATCTGTTGGAATCTCAAGGAATTTCCTCGCAGCCATCGGTGTGCACTGGGCCAGGCTCAGGATTTTCTGAGCATCAGCTACTAAGAACCTCACCTATCCTGCTCCCCAAACACAGTTTTTATAGTTTACTATAGTACATCAGTGAGATGCTCATCCCAAGACCTTATTATGTGACTCAAGAAACCATGGGAAACAATACTCTAAAATAATGTTTAATTTCATCATTGAATCTTTCCAATAAATGCAATGAGATTCAGTCATTCATTATCTACCCCAAAAGTGGATTAAAATGTGCCCACCACTGAAATAAAAACAAAGCTTTTAAGCTAATCTCAGTAATAAACCATCCAGTCATCTCTTTCAGGTCTGAAAATATATGTGCTGCAGTAAAAAAAAATTATTATAATTGTTAATTAGCTCAGTATAGTTAATTGATGTGTTCTGCAGCATCCTTAGAATTTAAATTCTGCAATTGAAATTAAATAAAATTAAGAAACATACTTTAATTTTTAAACCCATTATACCTGCACTGTATTTTAAGCATTAGGGAGCCTGAAATTCACAGTAGACATTTAATGAATAATCAGACCTGGAGATATAATTTGTCATAGCCACAGAAAGGGCTTGGTAAAAACCAAGCCTGACAAGTTAATTAAGTCTGAATATATTGGATAGTAGGAATATTTGCTGGCATTTATATATTTTTTTTGTTTTAAAATTTTTTTGACATATAGAAAAAATAAGAAACAACTAAGAGAGTCTACAGCATATAGAATTACAAATCTTGAAAAATGTTTAAATATTTAATAGCTACTGGATGCATTTTTTTCATGCTTTTCATACAAAATTTCCTTCTCAGAAAACCCAGACAATATTTAAAAGAGTATTTTCATAAATGGCTTGGCCTTACAACCCTTTAACCTCATGAGTCATTCCAGATCATGCTAAAGCTTACTCATGAGGAGGAATGTAATTTTTGGGCCCTTAGCATCTGACCTCACAAAGTATGATGCAAACTTTACCACCACGAGTGAGAAAACTAAGTGCAGTGGCAGGGTGCTGGAATCTCTTGCTGGAAGATGAAGCTTTTGTGCTACTTCATGGGTAGCTCCCTCTGTCTACTATCACCTCTATCCATGTGCAAAGAAGCTCAAGTGAATCAAATGCTTGCAAGATTCAGCCATAAGTGTTCCAACTCCTAAAGGGCCTAGACTGGCAACACACTGAGTCTTCTCCAAACTGGCTATGTACCTCCAAACTTTCATTAATGTTTTTTTTAGAGGGTTGGCATTGCCAGAGACTGCCTTACAAAACCTGAAATCCTTGCCTTCACACAGATCATGAAATGTTTCTCTCTCTCTCTCCTGCCCTCCCTCCACACAGACAGAGACACATACACACTGTCTACACATGCACCTGTGGGTGTAAGGGTGTATGCCTCTGTGTGTATATACACATTAAAGGTGGGTTTGTTTGCTTCCTCTTTTTTAGGCTTCAGGAAGCCTACAGTCTCAAATTCTTCCACGATGGCTGCCAACATCATTCTTTGACAGGAGGGGAAGGACAAGAGGGAATAATCTCATAAAATCCCATGACTCAGCTGGGATTCAAGATAAAACCTTGTCACTCATAAAGAACATGTGAACACTGACAGCGACTGAACCAAGTCCACAGCACAAGTTAGCAATGCTTACGTGGTTTCCTATTTTGAACTTTTGTATTTTGAGATATATTTTTGCTGCTATAAAAGAACAGGTAATAAGAAACTTGGTATTTCTGTGACATTAAGAAACTGTTATCCTTTAAGTATTATTGATCTTTCCAAGCAGTTAAAGGTTTTACCCTTGGCTAGTGGTTTGTTGAAATACAGCAAAAGATATACTTTGTAGAAGTTGTCCCAAATCAATCTCCTGATACCAAAAAGCCACGTCTAGTAAAACCATGTGGTCATAAAACCTCCCTGCAGCTGTTGCCTTTGCAGTGGACCCTGTCCAGATCCTCCCTCGCAGCACAGAGAACATAACAGAAGATATACTGCAGCCTGGGATGCTCTATTCTATAGGTAATTTTTCTTCTGGGATCAAAGCTGAGAGAGAACTCCTATTCCATTTCACGCTCTCTCCTTGTAATAGCTCCCTGACTGCAAATGAGGGATCTTCCCACTGTTTTGTAGGAGAGATTACTGTGACAACCCAAATCACAATCCATGCTGTGACTAAAATGAAGTTCTTTGGGCCTCTACAACTACAGTGCTGCGATGATGAGTGGTACTTTCTCCACTCACACATATGCTCCCAAGGCATAGTATTTATCCCCATTCTTCCTCCATGTAACAGCTACAGGCTGGATTAGTAAATAAAGCAAGCGTGGAGCCTGGAATGGGAGGTTAAACATTGTGCTGGAAAGTCAGCAATTTTAGTCATCGGGTAAAATCTCCCGTGACGGCATTCCTTTCTGAAACCGGATCCCGGAGAGAACAGCTTACAAAGCTGCAGGGATGCCAGGCAATGATCTACAGCCCTGGCCTTCCTGAAATGTATTCCTCCCCAGCATCTGTAAGCTGTCAAGTCATCCGTGTAGTCCTCATGTATGTGTAATACATCCTTGAGCCATGACTTTTCTCCTGTGGTTCGAAGCTGTGTTTTCATGTGGCTCTGGGTGCTTTAATTATGTGCAATGTCGGGATACAGGTCCAAACAAAATAATTTTAAATTGGCTTCCCTATTTTTAGAGGACAGCTTATGTCCTGCTTGGATGAGTGAACAGAAATGTTTGGGAATGGCCCCCAAACATCTTCTTGTAAGCTGAAAGTCTGAAAGCTACAGCTAAATCCAGGCAATCACATGATGATGAGTGTAATCAGGAACATACATCTGAAGGATGTCTTCAGACTTTTCCAGAAAGTTGGGATCTGTCACAAGAACTGCAAAATTTTTAAAAACTGAGTATTCTTTCTGTTCAGACCTGTTATTACATACAGTAGTATTGTTGCTAGCTAAATATGATTAGACCTGATGATCTTAGAAGTCTTTCCCAACCTTAATAATTCCATGATTCTACAAACCTTTAATGATCTGGGGGCTTTTCTTCTAGATTTTGGAACCAGGGGTGGGGGAAAAAGGGAGAACTTCTCCTTGAAAACTTGGACATTTGGACTTTTATCAGCATTAATCTGATTCCCAAAGAAATTGTACACTAAATCATAAATCAACTAAATGAAATGAAGTAATTTTCATAACAGAATCCAGTGCTGAAATATCCAGTCTACATAGAGTTTGGGATGAATGTATCATGTTTAAGACTTTTAGCCAACCTCTGGAATTCATGTGCACTTTTTCCACTTGAGCTGTTACACCACAAAATCAGTCTCACTGTTTCATTCACAAGTTTCCCAGAGAGAAATGCAGTGCTCAGAAACAGAAGACAGCTCTTCTGCATGGGATCTGGCTGGCTGCATATAGAAAAGTCATGACTGTCTTCAGGTACCTATTTTCTGAATAAGGTTGGACAAAAATGTAATTATTTTGTGACTTTATAAAATGTTTCAAAAGGATCTCTAGGAGTAGTACTGCTCATAACAACATCCTGAAATGCCATCTGAAGGCACTGCTGCTAACAAGGAGTATCTGCAGCTCAGGATTCCTTCTTTCACAATCTCGTCACCAAACCCAATACTGAACCTGCTGTGGTTTCCCACAGTTGTTGATCCTAGAATCCATGTGTAAGGTATACCTTTAATTACTAATATAATTATTTCCACCAATGTATGGGTTATGTTGTAGAAACCCATAAATTACATTTTTGCCTACAGGTAGCATTCATGTAATTATCCATGTAACACAGGCACAAAAACACATGCTCTTTACTGAAGAAGTCTTTACTGTCATTTCTGTACACTCCTCTCCAGAAATTCTCCTGTAAATACCCTTCAAGATTTAAAGAGGTACAACTTTTATTTGCCGATTTTTTCTTGACTTCACATGGAACCACCGACTGTCTTGTCTGAGAACAAGCCCAGCCCTTACAATCAGCATACTTCCTGTTTCACATTAATTCTCCTAACTCCATAAGGCATTAGGGATGGCTTGTCAGAAGTAGGTCTGTTGTGTGTTGCAATGATAATTAAGGGAATTTTCAGCACAAAATGATATTTGATTTTTTTTCCTACTAAAACAGAGTGAGAGGTCACATTATACTCAAGGTTGCCCTGCACCTTGGTAAATATGTTACTCTGAAAAAAAATCAGCTAAAGCTGATTAAAGCTGCAAGCAGTTTTCTAATGAAGAGCATATTTTCAGTTAGATTGGCATGTTGGCCTCCCAGGACAGACAACATATACTACTTGGTATTTACTTTAGGATATTCCCTCTCTCCTTCTGAGATTACTGAAAACTTGACTTGTCTACAACATTCTCTGTAGTCTTTGAAAATTACTTACAGATGACAGGAAGGAATCTGGTGGCCTCTCATATTTGTCTTGAGTCTTTTCCAGTTAAAGAATTCAGGCAGCATGAAAACTTCAGCTGTGTCTGTTTAGTCAAAAGAAGCCCATGACCAAAAGCTGTTCAGCAGTCAAGCACAAAAAGTGATGGGACCATGGAGATACAGAAAATCAACAAAGTAAGACGAGCAGAAAGCACAACTTTGTGAACACCCAGAAAAGTCGATTCCCTGTTGAAGCTGGCATCCTTTGTTCCACTTCCAATAGCTGTATTTAAGTAATTTCTTTTAGCATTTTTAAAATACAGGTGTTTTTGCTCTTCATGCCTGGATTCATAGGAATGGCACACATTGCAGAACTGAAACAGGCATATATAAATTCTTCAGCATCATACAGCATTTAGCTGCTTATTGGTTTTATATAGTATTTGTGGAAGTGTCTTGTAGCTGGAAGAAAGAGTAAGAGAAATAGTCCATGACTGATCTCTTGATCACTTTAGAAGATAAGTGCTTTTATAATTGAGTAATTTTTAACTTGTATAACTTCCTGGGTTCCTCTTTTGTCAGAGTCTTTACTGATAATAAAAAGTTTACAATATGCTAGGTAAGTTGAAGGCAGTAGGATAACCAGGTGTGATGGGACCAGAGGCTGCCAAAGTTCCATCTCTCTCCTGGAGTCATACCACAGAGATGGGAGGTGCAGCATCACAGTCTTAGGGGTATAGCAGATGGCTGGACAGATCTCGGATATCTTTGGCAACAGGGGATCAATAACATTCACACTCAGAATGATGGAAAAAAATTAAGAAAACTGGCCTTCCTTGAGCAAGGAGACAGGCACAGAGACAGGAGTCTTGGACATGCAGCCAGTATTTCTATTCATGAGCCCTGAAGGCACTGCTTACTAAGCAATTTCCCCATGAAGAAAAGAAAAAAAGCAGAGCTTTCTGTATTGGGTCTCTTGGACCACACTAACTGTTTAGAGCCATCTGATACACTGGGAGAAGGAGAAAGAATTCAAATATCTGAAACCACCAGAGTGAGGACTGTAAAAAATAACAACTAAGTTATCAGGTGATGGTATGTGCTATAATTGCTAGATCATATGGAAATAAAGTTCAGCAGCTGTTATTTTACCAGCATTACTAACTCTAGTTCTCCCATAGACAAAAAGCAATAAAAAAAGCTGTCTGCTGCCTACAAATCTGAGATCACAAGCCATAGGCCTCAGACAAGACTTTGGCCTCAAATGTCTACATTTTACTATAAAGATAGATATACACTATAAATTAAATGAACTAAAATATTCATTTGCTTGGTAACTAAAATAAATTTTCCACCTATCATTATGCTCCACAAAGTATGAATAAATGTGGACTGATGTCAAATGAGTCACAGAAAAAATAAAATAATGCTGTTTATCTTTACACGTCAGCTGTTGTATTATATGAAAGTCATTCTACATTAAAGAGCTTATAAAGTTAAGTGAGACTTTACTGCCACAGTAAGAAATTATTCTAGCCTTTATTTTATTGCAAAAGTATTGGTAACCCACCTGGATCAGTGCCTTTGATCACGCTACAAATCTTTGACCACACAGTAAACAAACTGGCAGAGGTGTGAGTGATTCTTTCACTCTAAGAAAGAGGACAAGACAGTTTGGCAAATTGCCTTGGTTGCCGTTCATTTACCAAGAAAAGTATATTAGCAGCAAGTCTGGTCACCTAAAAGTAGGAGTCTGCAGGGATAGCTCCCAGTTCAAGTGCCAGATTCAGAAGAGTCCTCTGAGTGTCCCATCATTGCCTTGACTTAACTTAGGCCTTCTTCCGCAAAAACCTGAGCAGGTCTTTAACTCAACCATTAACTTTCTAGCAACTCAGTTGCCTCTAGGTTGCAACACCCAGTGCCTAGGCAGCTGAGGGAATAAGTAGTTTGAACTTATTAGGGCAGACAGCACTTCCTCCAAGTGATGGTGCTGTATTTTATTAATAACACGTTATCCAGCTTTATACCCTAATCGCTGCCTCTGAGCCAGAAGCAGTAAAGGAGGGCAGTGCTGCTCTCCATGCTGGGCTTTTCCCTGGTAGCCATTGTGTACTTTGCACTTAAGGCAGTGGGCACAAAACAGAAAAAGCACTTCTAAAAAGAAGTTTGTTGGCCTTGAGTAGGGGGGCTTTCCAGTCACTAAGCTAATACTCTCTAAAGGGAAAGGTAAAGCAGGACAGCATCTTAACAGTGCTTCTGGATGTCAAGGCCAAAATCTTTTGTCACAATTTTTAATATGTAGGCCATGCATCTTGCAAAGCAGAGCCTTATAAATCTTTTCTGTTTCTTGCAGGAAGGAAAAAAGCAGAAATTTGGCTCCTTGGAAATGCCGATTAAACAGCAAACAAAAAAGCAGCAAAAGGGCAACCTCCACAGGGGTGGTTATTTGCATTAAGGAAGCTTTTGCTGGGGGTTTCCCTTTGCTTCTGGTCAGAAGACAGTTTTGATGAGGCTGAACTTTGTGTATTGAATTTGGAATGAGTAATACAGGCAGACTGTGTGCCCAGTGGGAGACTAGAAACTTTTGTATTAACATTTACTTTGAAAAGAATTTGCAGAAAGGTAACATACTTTGTCAGCTGCAGAAAATAACATCACTGATAATGCCATGAACAGGCTTCTGACAGAGCTATAAACACTGAGAAATTTAGGGTGTTTTTTAAAGGTATCAGCTGTGAATTCCCAGCCTCAGGGTGAGTCATTTAGACCAGATGCAGCATTTCAAGGAAACATTTCTAGTGAAGTGACTAAACAGTTGGAAAAGGCCCAACTGCAATGCATTCATAGGCATCCCATGGGTCAGGTGAAAGAATCTGTTTCTTAGAGACACCTGGACAGGTGGTATTCGCAGATGATATAGAGACAAAGGCCAAAGGAGATGGAGTTGCCCAAATAGAGGGAAGCTGCATCCAGGAAAGCAGGAGCTACAGAGATGTCGGCACCCAACAACTGGAGCGACACATGTGAAGAGCTGTCCAGGCTCTCTGCAGAAATTAACAGCTGAAGAGTTGTGATTTGGTGAAAATATGATCCATGGAAAATACTTAGGAGGCTGAAGGGGAAGGAAATGTACTGCCTGAATAACACCAGGAGCTACTAATGACCGGCTAATGCAAAGGCCAAAAGAAATTCATCATCCATCAGCTTCAGGGTCTGTGAAAACTCAGTGGATTATGTTGTGTGATTGGTATTTCTATTGCTATTGTACTGGGAATTGCCTTCATGTAGCAACCCTGGAGGGGTTCCGGGCTACTGAAGCAAGTAAATGTGCTCTGGAGCAGAACTGAGCCCCTCTACAGAGAGCTGGCAGGAAGAAATGTGGCTCCAGGGATTTCTTTGGGCTTCAAGTGCTTCTAGAATGAGTATGGAGTGACAAAGATTAATTGTTCCCTGTGACAGTTCTAAACTAGGCCACTGTGCAATAGTGGCCTTCGTAAACCTGTTGGAGTATTTGAAACTACAACTGTGCCCTCGGGTTTCCTCTTTGTCAGGATGCTGCCTCATGTGGCATCAAAACTGAGCTCTAAGTAAGAACAAAAAAACAGATTGACATTACCAGACTTGAAGGACAACAGCCAAACATTTCACAGCATGTCATGGGAAAGAAGTGTGAAATATCCTGCTTTGCCCAGGTATTAGGGAAATATTCACAGAAGACAAAGAATAGAAGCTATTGCTCTAATATAACCCATTTACCTTAAATTTGCAAGGTTTTGAGCAATGCAACTGGGTGTAGTATCAGGTGACATACCACAATGTGCCTTTGCTTTTTTTTTTCGTGTCACAGTGGATAACTGTGAGGTTTTACATTGGGTGGTGGAAAATGGCCTGACCACAGGTACATCATCTTGAACTTCCCATACTGGAACTATTAAAAAATCCTACTCAGCAGCTTCCTGAACAACTGAGCCAAAGCTTTGCAATAATTGTAAGAAATGTAATTCCAAATAGCAGCAAACTTTCCTGCAGTCAAGAGCTGAATGTGTTATTGGTTTTGACTGGGAGTCTGCATCATCCAGTTACACTGACACTGACAGATTAAGACAGAGCACAAACCACCACAAGGTCTGCAGAGTACCTTTCATATTCATGCATACACCAGAGATATTTCAGAGGATGAGAAATTATCTAATTTAAGAGACAAAATCTGAAGATACCCAAGAAAACCCATAGGAGGAAGATCCAGCCTAGGCCAAAAGGTCTCTGAAGCTTTTTTAGAAGATTAGCTAAGAAGGTTTAACTCTCTGGGGATGTCAGTGGCTTCTGCATGGAAACTTTAAAGAGACAAATTGCACACGATGGATAGACCTGGACAGCAGAACAAACATTTCTGTCTCACTGATAATCTAGAATGAAGAATGTGGGGTATCTCCGAGACTTGAGCAGGCAGTCTCATGCTGGAGCCTGCAAGGACTGCTGGGCTTCCTGCAACCATGGAAATTACAACAGTGATCAAACTGCTAATGCTTTCAAATTCTTGCTGAACAAAATAGGAAAAAGTTGCAGAGAGCACCTGGCAGTGATGCTGTATGGTTCTCTGTGTGGGAAATTGCTGTGTTTGTATGATATTACACTTTTTTGTGTTTTATGGGTAAGGAGAGGCAAAATGTAGTTGGGCCAGAGCTCTTACTCAAAGTGCTCCTCTAAGTTTTAGACTTCTTTGTGTGAATAAAAAAATAACATGGTAGAAGAAAGCTTTACATAGAGAAAACTATGCCTGTAATAAAGTCTTCATCCTAAGATATTTCCTTTATTCCACATCTGATCCCAGATGAATGAAAAAAGCAACAACAGGAATTTCACAGTACTCCACCCAGACTTTCTTCAAGACCAGCTCTATAAACTATAGGATCTGTGCATGCAGGGATTATACTGTTTGATCATAAAGCTGCACAGACCAAAAAGAAAAAAAAATAAGTTCAGACTAAAAATTTGCATTGCTGTATAAACAAAAACCAGCCACCACTTGTTCAGTGGGACAGCAACACATCTGGTCTCCAATCCTGTAGCTGCCTGGCTGAACAGGGCTTGGGAGCACTGAGGAGCTACCACTGCCTAGGAGGAAGGGAGTGCCCAGTATTAGTCACCAGAAACCAGGTCTGAATCATTTCATGGAGTTCTGATTCAGCAAGTTAAACATTGGTGAGAAACAGGAGATGAGTCCTCAGCATTCTGCACTGAAGCAGACAACTGCTGGGAAACCCAGGAGGAGACCGATGACATGACTCCAGAGATGCAGCAGGACCTGGGACTGAGATGGGCCACCCAGCTCTTCATGGGCTTGGACCCAGGCATGAGACATTGGTGTGCTGGGGGAAGGATGTCCTGTCTCTGCGGACAGCAGCGATGACAAGAGGTGTATGAGGTGGCCCTAGCAGACCATGGCCATGTCCAGAGTTTGCTTTTCCCCATCTAGTTTTGCTTACCCCGAGCAGACAATATGAAGGCTTACACTTAGGCCTCCTGTGCCCAAGAACGACTGCCCACAATTACGCAAAGCAAATGTGCGTTTGGAGAATGCCACATCAGCAGTCCTCCTCGGGTGTGAGGAGGATTAGTGCCAGCCCTGTATGATGTTTACATAAGAGGATTTGATCTATGCTTCCTAGTGTGATTCACAGGGCTCTGCCTTGCTGGAGTAGCTAAAAGTTAATTGCTCTTGCTTCTGTACTTGGCCCTGGTACTCTGCTTTCTACAGCAACTGCACTGGTAACAGTAACATTGCAGCAGGTGTTATGGTCCAATTTTAACACAGATATTGTTGATTGGCATTTTTGTTTCTCCACATATTTTTTCCGACTGTACTTTTTGAGCCTACAAACTTATTTTTCAACTGCAAATCCTGCTTTCTTTATTTAGATGAAAACCAGAACACTAACATTTAGAAATACAAGGTTGCCAGCACCGTTTAAACACACTTCCTTAAATACATAGGTTTGGAAAAACAAAACTGGTGCCTCTGTACTTTGACGAGCTAAAAATGACACTGGTTTCAAAGATATGGAGCATAAAAAGAAATTAAATGTTAAACTATAAATAACTCAGTTTTCACTTGGGCTCCAGAAACTTGCACAGCTTTCTATACAGGTAGTCACTATGGCACCAACTTATTTATCAATCACAAAATGTAGTAATTCAATCACAAAATTGAGAATTTCACAGAATGTAACTGTAGCACTACATTTTTTCTTTGTTTGTTTATTAGGGATAATAGTTTCAAAAATATGCTTTCTCATATATTTTCTTATAAATTTATAGGTTTTCTATTCAAAGCCTTGGTATTCCCTCTTCCTGCCGTTCGATCAATGTACCCATTTTGTATCTGTTTTCTGCCTTTAACTAGTTCACAAGACTCTAACACAAGAATCCAAGAAAGCTTCACTTACCAAAATTTTTAAGTGATTTGATTTCCCTATACTTTAGGAGCGATGTGCAGGTAAACCAGAAGGCATAGTAAATAATCATGTTTTGAGCAGGATCAAGAGTTTAATACTTGAAAGTTCTGGACATGACCAGATCTCATTCGGCTCAGACTCAATTATGATACTGAATCATCTCTATCTGGCATGACTGCTGCTACGCAACATTTTCATGAAGCTTTTATGTTAAAATGCAGATTTTTGCAGCTAACTTACCTTGGGTTGTTCTTCCTGTTGCAGATTGTTTTTTGTTTTGTTTATTTTTTAAGTGTGGTGTGGCTTTCTGGATACTTCCAATACCAGCAGATGTTGCTTAAGGAAGAAGCTGAACTCCCTAGATCCATCTGGTGTCATTTGCCCACATGGTTCCCTGGGGATGTTTCTCTTATTAGTGTTTCCATGAAAGCAGGCTGATGGCTAGCTACACAATCCCCAGCCAGAAAGTCCCCTTGGCTGCTTTTCATCCAGTCCCTTTCTTCTGACACATCCAGCTTTGGTGGGCTACAAGGAGTCAGGCCTCCTCCTGGAAGAGCTACTGAGTTTACTTGGGACACTCATGCAATCATGCTGTGTCAAAGTACAACTAGAAGCAAAGGAATGTTGGCAAGAGAAAATTATGTATAAGCTATGATTAAGACATTAACAGAACCATTATTTATTACTCAATTTTCTATCACAGCAACCAAGATCAAAGGTTTTGCCTTTTATTCCCCTATGAAAACCTTATCTGGATCAAGCTGAGTCATAGTATTCAGTTTTTCTGTCGAACTCTCTCCTACATGGGTTTTTCAGGAACTTGCAAATGTACTTTCTTCAGCTCAGCCCTCTATGACCATCTCCTCCCCATTCGCCACCTAAATCATTTATGCACATCTAAGTCTGTATTTCATTCCTTACTGTTTGTTTTGGAGCCACAAGAAACCCATTTGTTATTGAACAGCTTAATTTCATTTCAAAGTAATTTTAAATATGTCAGTTTAGAGCTGCTCTGGTTTTAATTTTTTTTCATTTGGTTTCAATATATTGTCATTTTTACATTTTACTTTCTACAATTCAAAGGGATTATATACTATGAAACATGAAATTATATGGTAAGAGTGTTGTTGTCACAGGAACAGTTTGCTTCCACTGCACAGTGACTAGCAACTCACTGTATCTGTGTACGACTGCTGCAGTAGCTGTGTGGGAGCTGACTACTGCAACTCACGAAAAGTGCCCGTGCAGGGTGGTGCATGCAGCTGCTTACAGTCTGAGCCAGATGGATGTTATCCAGACTGGTCTGTGTATCAGGTAACTGCACTTACCAAAAGCTCAGAGCTGTGTTGATAAGTCCTGCAGAGAGAACAGTTATGGTAAATACAAGCACAGTGTCACAATGCTGTGGTTTCAGTTTTCATATCAGAGCTGGCCTGCAGCCTGGTAGCTCAAAGTATAAGAGCAGGCAAGCAACTCTCCACACTCATCCATCTAGACATAACCCCTGAGGTATGTAGAAAGTCTTTTAATATTCCAGAGAGGGCATCAGTTCCCAAATGCTCTGTGTTCTCTGGGTTCTTAGTTCTCTCTGTTAACAAAATTCCACCTCCACCCTGATGTGTGCCCAGACATCTATACCTCAGTTTGGACAGGCAACGCTGACAGCTCTTGTGTTGCTGATGGGAAAGCAGTACCTGGAAGGAGAGCAGCAGGTTCTTATTAAAAACAAACTTCTTCAAGAAAATCAGCTAGTTACTCAGGAGCCTCAACTCAGGCTTCCTTAGCCCTCCAACCTACTACAGCTCCTCATCCAAGGCAGCAGTTCATCTTTTGAATCTTTTTGTACTCTAGTGTATAATAAAAGATCTGCGATATCTCACACTCAGCCATATTTCAACTTATGCAAACTGGGATTTGATAGACACTAGATAAAATTTTACAGGACAGTACAACATGCTAGCCCAGTTAGAATGAGCTGGCACTGGGAACTGCAGCAAATTCCTAAAGTACTGGCTATATCCCATTTGCAGAACTGCTCAGCCCCATGCTGTTACTTAAGCATCTGGCAGGAGTTGTGTTACTCCTGTCCTGCTCAGCTGGTGCCACTTCTCTTTTTTTTCTGCCCTGACAGATCTGGTACCTCCTCTGAAGAGCAAAAGAGAGGAGACAACACTTACGAGCTCTGTACCTCATCTTCTCTGTTTCCCCCAGAGCCTTATAGCACAAAAAAATACTGCACAGCAAATTTTAAAAGAAAATGAAGCGATCACGAGCAAACATGGAAGCTGAGGGAATACAGCCTTGAATGATCATACCAGTACAGTCTATACTGGGGCTAACCCTCACCGATAAATTTCTCTGTAGTGCTTCTTGGGAGCCTTTACTTCTCAGTGTGAGAGATGAGCTAATAGGCACTTGGAGACATGCTAAAGTGATGTCAATCAGTCCACAGCAATAAAATACCAGGGAAGATCTTTCTAAACCTACAAAGCTGCACCATAAGAGCCTTTGGTCTCATCTTTTTTTTTTCTCTTTTACATGCAGAACTGAAAGAGACGCTTAACCCACAGCAGCAAAGGGGAAGTCACAACAGTGAAGAGCCATCATTTATACAATCCAACCTAGAAATAGAAATGAAAGAGAAAACCAAAGAGCAAAAGAGAAGTGCATATCCGAGAAGCTGTACACAGAATGACAGTACTAATGTTAACATAGGCTACCTGAAAGGACAGGAAAATCCAGACATCCCCTTACTCATACTTCATATCATAGAGCATATAACTGAGTTAAGATGGAGAAAATATCTAGAGCTGTCTGAAGGGCAATGAGAAGAAGCTAATCATCAAACTCCTCAAACTCTTCCAGAAGAGAGATTTTAAAGACAGAGAAGACACACCACATGCACAGAAAGCAGGAAGAAACAGATGGAACTGTTTTCAAATCGTAAGGCAATTAATCAAATTCTACCACCAGAATTTCACCCTGCCTCATCCTGCAAGTTGATCTCCATGTGCAGATGTCTCTGACATTGGTCTCCTTCTTTGAGGATCAGGGGCCCAGGCATGAACCAGAAACCACAGTGGCTGATGTGTGCCCCCTTTGCGTGCTTCCTCTATTGTTCTGTTCAGCTTGTGCATTGAAATTAACAGCACCTCATAAAAAATGCCTCCTTATGACATAGGTTCCACATGCACTGGCGGTAATCTGGGACTGAATAAACTCTGGCCAAGAATTTCAGATGGAGGTGTCTGTGGCTGAGCTTCTGAATCGGCATGGAGACAACTGGATAAACAATCAAGCATACTGATGATTTTAGAATTGCCATGAAAATCAGTTGCACCTCACCAGTCTGAGTATTAATTAACATCTTTTCACCTACACACAGAAACACTTTGGCACTGGCACATCATTGCAATGCAGTTGGATGTTCTCATCAGAAAAGATACACATAGCTGAGTTTATCACCATTTTGTGGTAGAATCCCATTTAACTGAAAGAACAGGTTTTCAATGAAGTTTCAACACTCAGAAAACCTTTAGGAACATAAGGATACAGTTCTGTGTATCTTTGGGCAGAACAAGGTATTGGTTCATCTATTCTTTGTTCAGGCCCATTCCTTTTCTATTTCTTCCTCCTTTCTCTGTCTTTCTAATCAATCAGTGGATTCATTCTGCAGTCATGGATGCTTCAGCATGAGATGCCTCCTCTAAAAGCAGAAAATTTAACACATGGGATTTACCACAAAATGAGCAGATATACAGATACCCAGCATGATTCTTTGGGTATACCATACCACACTATACCACGTCAGCAGTCTTGGATTTCTACCAGACTATGGTTGAGAGAAGCGCCGTGTTAGGAAGTTCCAGTTTTGCTGAATCAGTGTGGAGTATGGGTAGAATAAATATCACACACCTTGCTGTCACACCAAAATATCTATCCATTACACCAGAAACTGCCAGGTTGCCAAACACTGGAGGAGGCAGTAATACTGTGCTGACAGCAAAATAGGGCTGAATTGCTGCACCCTCGGGGAATGAATCTGGAAAGTCTGGAGCATACTAGCAAGGAATCTAAACAACATATGGGCGAACAGGAGCAGTTCCCTTCACTGGCAGTACTCTTACGCACAAAGCTAACCTGGTGGTTGTGGTGGGATTGAGACCTTTGTGTCCTATCCCCCAAGTTCTCTATGACCCAGTGCACAACACTGAATGGGACAGGGCATAAGGATACTGCAAATGCATTAGGTCAAGTAACACTGGTCTGTCATTCACCTCATAGCACTATACTACAGCCACACAACGCCCATTTCTAGCCAGCCTCCTCCATGGTTTCACCTTTCATATATCAAACCTGTGTGCTGAGCACAACTAATTAGGTCACCCAAGATCAGATCAGTCCACTCTGCCTGGTGCCAGGATCACAGTAGGAGAGAGGGACAATTATATGGCAATTGCATGACACTGATGTAGGGAAACCTGAAGTGACGGTCAAATGAATGAGGCCAGTACCTATTTCATGCATCTTTCCGGGCATGTATCCACAGCAGAAGTTCACACTGCAGCTCACAGTAGTGAAACTACAGATAGCACTATTGCCAGCAAAATACTGCATCCTTGCTTTTATTAGAGGGAACTGGTAAACCACATGGCAAAGCTGAAAGCAGGCAAAGGTGTATCCTAAATTACAAGCCCAATCAAAAGTCATCATCCCTTTCTCTGAGAAAGTAACTTCTGGATTGTTACATTTAATTCCTAAAATGTAAAATTCTTACAGAAATTGAGGATATTTTTTCCTACTGGGTTAACAAAAAGCATATGATGATGAGTGGTTAAGCAAACAGAAAATCAAAGTAAAACAAATAATAAAACCCCCCAAATTTACCCCTGTTTATCTTGAAAATATTCACTGAGTAAAAAGTAACAAGGGTTTGCTGAAAATAAATCTTGTAGACAATCCTGAAATATTAAAATCCAAATATATCATATCTCCTCTGTTTTCTTCATGCAAAAGTTTTGCAATGCTACGAATGTTGGAAACAAAGCCCTCCAATGACTTTGAGCTGGCACAGAAAATGAAACAGCAGGGGAGTCCTGAGCCACTAGTGCTCAATGCAGGGTTGCCTTCAGCACACAGGTCCAATATCAGCAAGTAAAAGACACACCACAGATCCAGGGTAGTAAACCCTGTTTTAGGGTGCTCAAAAACACAGCCAAGTGATGCAGAGCACTGATGTGATGCAAAGTCATTTTGGCAGCTCAAGCTTATTGAAACTTTTCCAAAAGGACAACTTTTCCCTAGCAGACTCAGTGCCAGTATGTGCATTGTTTCTGTGTCATCCATCGTAACATGGAGGCAAATGAAGCAATTTAAGGAGCAACAGAAAGAATTATCTGGAAGAGTGGTTTTATAGAGAAGGGTTAAAAGAGCTTAATACATCCAGTTTTGTTAAAGCAGAGGTACATGGAGACGTGTCTCCAGCCAGCAAATACTTAAGTAATGCAAACCTTAAGGATGGAGAGGAAATACTTGGGCTTCTACATATGGGAACAAGTAGGAGTAAATGAAAAGAGGGTGGGGAAAGACCAAATGTCAGAAAATCTTACTGGCAGTGAAGAGCAGAGCTCGTGCAAATTTTTCAGAGGAATTCTTTTAGTTATTTAAAAAATAATTTGAAACATACTAATAAACAAGCTAAGTAAGTCTGTACTAGCAGGAAAGTTGATTGGATTACCTAACAGCCTTATCTCTCCCCATTTCTTTCTTTGCTTCATTTATTTTCTACCAAGTAATCATGTATAACATTTGGTAAAAGCAAAGAGAAAGTAACCCAAGGTACATTCATGACCTCAATCTCAATGTTGATTTAAGAGACTCTACTTCCCACTGTGAGTTCATGCCATCCCAGCAGAACAGGAAAAATGGACCTCACAAAAATTTCTCATTTATTCAAGTGCAACATCACCTGGATTTGATCGGTGTCCCACAGAAGAGGTAACTCCGTGCAGGAGAGAGACAAGGCGGTTCAAACAATGGATTATTGCTTTTGGAGTCAGTCAGGCAGATCACCTCTACTGAGTACCAGCAGTTGAAGAGGTTACAGGTCCTAACTAACCACACTGACACTCTCCCAGGAATTTCTGTCTCCTTATCAAAGGTGGCAGAAAACCACACATCTGCATTTTAGTAGTTCTGGTTCCCTGCCCAGAAAAAAAAAAAAAAGAGTATAAACTATCCACAAAGGTAACTTGCATGATAATTGAAAGCTGGCACTTTGGTGTGCTTTAGGAGGAATGTTTTAAACTACCACACCTCAGTAAATGCAGCAGTCTTTAGGTACAAACCTTTTCACTGAAGGTAGGCAAGGCTGAAGGTGGACTGACCATAGCTCTTCTGGTGTTAAATTTACTCTATTCTAGCTGTCATGCTGACAAAGCTAAGAATGGCTGCAGGAATCAGAGTACAGCTCCCTATTTGAGGGCATTTCTTCATCTAACAAGTTGGCTGTTGAACTTTAGTGTCGCAGTATTTATGCAATTTCTGTTTATCAACACAACTAGATTTTTATAAGAACTATATTCTACACCTTGTCATAGTTAATTGTAAGAAGCTTTTTTCAGTATAGAAATTATTTTTTAAAAATTGTTCAAGAGGCTCAAGCAATACTGCAATATCCAAGTGTTAATATTTATACGTGCTGCATGCATAAACCAAGCAACTTGAAGAGTCTCAAACATGTATGAAACAATATAACCCAGACTAAATCAGAAATAAATTAATGGAATGCTTTTTGCTTTATCATTTACAGACATTGGACCATATTGTATTGGTTTTTCCTGCACAGAAAACAGTGGGAGTTCTGGACAAAGATGAAAAGGAGAATGTGTACTACAACCTGTTTGTTTTCTACTCATATCTTTTTCAAAAGACGGTCTGTGTTTCAAACAAATAAAAACTTCCCATATTTTAATGCTGTAAAGTTTAAGATTAATAGATACCATAATGGTAGGACTCATGGTTCTTCTCTCATGTATATTATGGCCTTTTTTAATAGCATAGTTGGCATTTCCATTTTTACTCTAAGGTAGATGTTGCCATCCTTACATCTTAGTTTCATTAGAGTTCCCATTCATTTCAGTGGGTAGGATGCTCTACAGCGTGAATTACAACGTCTGGATGCTTGGTTGTGCAACACTGGCTTTGAAAGACGAGAAATAGGAAGGAGCTGACTTCTTTTTCCAGAAGAGTAATGCATGTACAGCAGAAGCCTAGTTCGGATGTAAAATCAAGATCATACCGGGTCCACTGTAATAAAGATGCAGCATTAATTGCTGTTCGTCTTTCTCAGTTCTTAGGTTTGATCATGCTCTTTGATGTACCCCCACAGAAGTAAAAGTGTGGACTTCTGCTCACAGCAGTAATCAGGCTTTATATGTGGTTTGGGTGGTTCTGATAACTGTTGACAGAGATTCATGATCGTAAGTCACTGATTGGTGTATACCCATTTTCTATGCAGTAGTTAAAAGACTATGCAACTTTGAAAGATTAGTAATTACAGAGAAGCACTTAACTTGATTCCTCCTCCCATGTCTTCAGGAAGTGACCACTGTTCCTGGGAAAGGTTTCGACCCAGTGTTTCCAACTTTCCATTTCACTCTTAAAAATAAACCTCATTGATGCTGTGGCCATAGTTCAACAAACAGCTGTATCCAGACTTTCAAGGTGTCTTTGGGGAGTTCTAAGAAAAAAGAACAGTGTGTGTTAAGTTTGTGCAAAAGCCATAGCAATACTATTTTAGTTAAGTTGTTAGTCAGGCCTTTAGAGACTCTGGGTTTATTACACTACCCAAGTCTTTTATGCTGTTCTGACAGCTGAAACTCAATGACATGTTCAGCCACTTCAAAACAAATGTGACATGTTGATCAGGTAGGGAAATGAGCTAAGGAATAGCGCGTGGGTGCATACTGTTTTTTTATTCTAAAAATCTAAGGCTTTTCTTCGCTAAACAGAGACTATTTGTGCTACAGACTTTTCCTTTTAACGCTTTATCCAAGATGCCTTTGGCACTGTAAGTCCTGATCTTGGACAGGCAATACCCAATTCATATCTCTCACTGGGAGCCATGGCACACCTGGTATCACAGGTCCTGTCAGGACTGTTCCATGGACCCATTTCCCAGCGCAACATCCTCTTGACAGACACCAACCTCACACGTTTAACAACTTGCCTTCTCCCCATCGCAAATTTCCTCTATGCATGCACAAAGGCCTTATGGCCACTCGTGGCCCTCAAAGGCACAGTGCGTACATGTCTTCCCTCAGCAACGGCAGGCGCGCGCTATCAAGCCCTGGCTCCAGCACAGGCCTCACACCGCGCCTCAGGCGGGCAAAACCTCCCTCTCCTCCAGTTCTATTGCTGCCGAGGGTGCTGCACCGACAGGCCAGGCCCAGCAGCGGGGGAAGGGAGCGGATTTCCTCACGGGGAGGGCTGCCGACACCCCTGCTCCACAACACCCTGGGCTTCCAGCAAGGAAGATAGGACACGGGAAATGGGCAGAAACACCGGAGAGAAACGCCCCCGCCCCCCAGCGAGGCCGCCGCGCACAGAGGCAACGGCTCGGCGCCCGCCCGCCACCATCTTGGACGCGGGCAGGAGGAACGCCGGCAGCCTCCGCAGGGAAACAACAACAGCGTCACCACAGCCCTCCCGGCGACGGAGAGAGAGCGCTAAGGAGGTGGGCTGACCCTGCCGCGAACAGCCAGCGTTTACAAAAGACCTAATGTTGCGTTTAAGAAACCAACAAACAAACAAAAAAATTAAACCAAAACAAGCCGGTCACCAGCCCTCTGCCTAGACCAGGGGGAAAGTGAGGCCGCCTTGCCCACACTTAAAATGGCACCTGCTCTGCGCCCTCGCCTGGCCGGGGGCGGGGCCTCCCCGGGGGGCGGGGCGGCCCCCTCTCCATCCCCCGCCCGGGACACGCGCGTCAGGAGCCGCAGCGCGCGCGCTTGCGGGGGTGCTCGCCTGGCCCCGCCCCTCCCCGAGCTCCTCCGCGCGCGCGCCGCGGCCCGGCCGGAGCAGACGCGGACACGGACACCCGGCGCACCCGTAGCGCCGGCGGCAGCGCGATGACGGCGGCGCCCGGCTGCCCCCGCTGCTCCCCGCGCTGCCTCCGCTGCTCCCCCGGCGGCTGCCCCTTCCCCCGCGCCGGCGGCTGGACGGCCGCTTGGCGGGGCGCGGCGCTGCGCTTCGCGCTGGCGCTGCTCCTCCACACGGCGCGGGCCGAGAAGGAAGGTGAGACCCAGATTTCCCTTCCCTTTCTTGTCCCCCTTCCCCCCGCTTCTCCTCCCCTCCCTCCGGTGGCGGCGGGGCCGTTGGCGGCCGTGGCCCGCGCCCGCTCCCGGGCGACGGCGGCGGGGTGGGGGGAGGCGGCCGGGAAGGCGCCCCGGGGTCGCCGCCCCTTGTCCCGCATCCCGCCGGCTCCCGCATCCCGCCGGCTCTCGCTGCCCTGGGTGTGCAGGGAGTCGCGCCGCTGCGTCCCCCGCTCGGCTGGCAGGGTGCGGGTGTGTGTGTGTGTCTCTGTGTGTCTCTGTGTCTGTCCCTGTGTGTGTGTCGCTGACGTTTGGCAGGGGTTTCTCCTCCCCTGACAGCGGCGGGGATGGAGCTGGAGCTGCCCTTTAAACAGAGGAAAAGGGAAAGAAAGAAGTTTAAAAAAAAAAAATAGAAGGCTTTCTCGCACTGAGCTGGTTTCCCTGCGGCAGGCTTCCAGCGGGAGACCGAGCCAAGCCAAACAGACGGGCGAAGCTGCATGAGAAAGTGCAGAAATGTGCGCTTTTGCATAGGTTGGATTTTGATCTCTCACCAAATGACAACGGGGCCCCCCTTCGCCTCCCCGAACTTTTGAGAGGTGTCCGGCGCCTTCGCGGGATCGATGGCGTTTTCTCCAAACTTTATGAAGTCCCCGTCTGACTTTCCCTAACTCGCAGTGTCTGTGATTTTGGCACGCTGTCTTTTCATTGTGGTTTAGCAAGGAAAAAAAGCCCGGAGCGAAACACCTAAGTATATTCTGTAGCATTGCTGAGAACGGCTTTCAAGCATTTCCAAGGTGCGGACTCGTGGTCTACTTGAAAGCGTTGCTGTTTGGTAGCATTAAAAAGCAGCAGGTAAATATAATGTATTGCAGAAGTAGACGAAACAGATTTACTTTGGCTGGACAAGAGAATTTGCTTTTCAGGCAAGTTGCTGCACTGGAGGAGGCAGGAGTTTGAGGACTGAGAGGAAGAAACAGAATAAAAAGAATAAGAAGGGTATGGAATAGAAGTTTAGTGAAGAGACTAGTTATGTGTCTAGAGCAGACTTGAGGGAAGAAATGCATCCTAATAATGCATGTATGAGAATAAATGTAGATATGCATTTCTAGTGAAGGACTCAGTTCCAGTAATTTCCAAGTAGCTTGTTTTTACAAATAGGATGATGTTGCTTAGAAAGTGATTAAAACCCCCCAGTTTTGGTTGTTGCACATCCACTGTTCACTTGACTTTGTCTTCAGAGAATGTAACATTTAGATAACAGCATGAATATGATACCAGGTCTTTAGAATGATGAGAATGCGTGAGTTTGTCAGTGTGGCCTGTAGTGTCTTGAGATACTAAAAGAGTTCAAATGCTTGAGGAATTCCTATTTTTAACTCTATTTGTGATTGCATTCCTTCACAGGTAATAGGTTATATGAGTTTATAAGCTTTGTCAGTGATGTCATATACTGGTATGATGGAATTGATTCATGCCCTAAAAGTTCTAATGGCTGGGGCCACGGTCTAGTTTGGTTCATTTGTGAAGAAGATACAGGGTTTTTTTTTCTCTCTGGACTTCTTTGCTATTCCTAAATAAACAAAAACAGTTTTAGATTCACAGAGTTTGAACAGATATGATTGACGCCCTTCAAGAGAAGGGAATAGTTTGTACTGATACCATTTCCTTTTGTTGATACAGTCTATTACTTAAAACTTATCCCAGCAATACTTCTGTCATTTTCAAAAAGTGAATTTGTTTCTCAAATAAAACACGGTTTTCTTTTAGTCTTTTCAGATTTCTCACACTCGTTTTTCTTCCCATCTGTTCTGCTGCATTTAGGGTCACTAGTAAGTCTTGCTTTGGTGTTTTGGGTTTTTGTGTTTTGTTTTGGGGTTTTTCTTAATTCATCTTTTATTGACTTCTTAAGAGTTCATTCGCAAGCTGCATTTGTGGATGGCATGTTAGAAAGTGTTGTCTTGCAGTCTTCCTTTTGCTGAGTGCAATGCCCGTTTAAACCCTGGATTAAAAAAAAGCAAAACAAAACCCAAACAACAGTTTTAAAGCAAGACAAAGATAAAAGGGACTTGAGATCCAGTCCCACTGATCTTAAGCTACAAACTAAGTACCAGTCTGCAAGAGACAGTAAATGAGCACAGGAGAGGAAGAATCAGCTTGGACAGTGGGCCTTTAGACCAAGATGGGAGCTCAAAATTAAACAGCAATTGAGAAAAAAGGAGGGGAGAGTGTTTCAGGCTCTGTCCTTCAGTGCCTTAGCTTTTACCAGTTTGTGTCAAGTTAAACGTAGTAAGACAGAGTTTAAAAATAATAATCAGGAAGCAGGGAAGTAGCTAGGAATATCCTTTCCATCTTCCAGATGTGGGCATACATGTTTCACTACAGCTGCAGGAAGGAAGCTGTGGAGAGGGATTAGAGCTGTGTGCTCCTGAGGACTGCTGAGTTGAAGGTGGCTGTAGTATATATTCCAGAGGATTTGCTGCAGAAAAAAAACTGATAAGAAGCAGGTGTCAGATGAATGACAAATGCATGAGAAGAACAGATCAGCATATGACAAAGTAAAGTGAAAAATGAAGGTGGAGGACACTGTTTTCCTCTTACCTTGCATGTACATGAGGGGGAACTGGAGGAATGATGGAGCTGATGCACTGAAGAGTATGCTGGCTTTGTGCTTCTATGGAGAAGGAGCAGCAAGCAGTTTTTCATGGAGCTGTCATGAGTAGAAACAAGATTGATGCTGGAGTGTTCCAGATAGACATGACTGCTTTTGTACCCAATCTTAGTTAAGAAGTTTGAGGGGGAAAATATAACATAAACAGCTTTGCCTAACAGCAAAAAGCAAAACTGAAGTCCTTTGAGTGTTCAAGCTGTAAATCAAAGACTTGAGGAACAGTGACATTGCTGTACGCTCTCTGTTCTATAGAAATAGAACTTCTGAATAGTTCTATAGAAATAGTTCTTTAGAAATAGAACTATCTGGTGTCTGAATAGATACGAGAGCAGAGAAAACTGCATATGGACCAGCCAAAAAAACATAAACATCATTTTCAAACTAAACACTGATGTGTGACTTTACTTTTTTTGTGCCTAGCTGGATCCTTAGTGCCCATGTATTGCTGAGGAATGAGTAAGGCTGAGAAGGTTGTAAAATTTTTTGTTTGTTTGTTTGTTTTTTTCACTTAAGAAATCTGTGAACCATAGCAAAAGAATATCATGGCAGGGAAAAATTTCTGAATTCAATCTGAAAGAGACTCTTGCTGTTTAGGAGGGGCAAAGATAACTTAGGAGTTTCTTTTGCAAATATGTATGATTTTCAAGCTTTTCATAGGCTTATCCTTTCCTAGTGTAATTATCACATTCTGTATTGACACATGGATTGAGGACAGCTTTCAGTTTATATTTGAGCATGTGTGGTTTTTGTTTGGGGTTTTGTTTGTTTGGTTTGGTTGGTGTTGGTTTGGGGAGGGACGGGACACACAACGTACACACAACAGCCTTCTGGGTTTTAGGTTGAAGGAAGCCATAGTAATGCCATAACCCCATAACCCCGTGGTCAGTAAAATGTTTTGAAGACAAATGTCTAAATGAGGATGCTTTTTTTACAACCACTTTTTTTTTTTTAAATCCCTTTTTACTTGGCCAGCTGACTGAAAGCCTGTTGAGACTATTTTGATAGCTCTCTTACCTACCCATCTGTTCACAAGATTCGTGCAAATAGAGTAAGGTTAATATTTAGGCTAGGTTAAATCCCCAGCTGTAATATTTGAAGTTATGTCTTAGTGCTGGATCTGGCAAACATTTGTATTTAAACATCAAAGTTATGATACCAGATAGGTCAGTGAAAATAGGATTTTTTTTTTCCCTAAAACTTGATATATTGTCTGCTAGCATTCTAGAAACTAAGGTAGTTATGGAGTGTAAGTAATGGGTAAA